TGATTGTGGAACTTCTAATGTACTAAAAGTTGTATCGAGGAAGAAATAAACTGGTTTAATCAAGAAAGGACTTGTATACGCTGAAAAATCCTTGGAAAAGAATTTCTACCGGAAACAAACAAACAAGCAGATACGTAGCAATACTCTGCATTGTGTCAAGGATATTCAAAACTTTAGTCACATGTTTGTTGACAGAATGAGAGCAACTGAACAAGGAAGGATTTTTGAATTTGAAAGGTAAGTCTGTTTCTAATGTTTTGTTTATTTTGTATAAAAAAGAACTGCTAAATATTTTAAGTTTAATATTATAATGTTACTAATTTCATACCTATATTGTTAAAGTAACAGAATATGCTGATGCACTGAGATAAAATGTTAAAGAAACTACTAAGACATTTCCTTTTGTATTTTTCTTAAACCACTGGAGCAGTTACGTAGATACCAAAAAATTACATAACTTGTGCATGGTCCTTCACAGTGTGACACAATCAATCTGTGTATTTTATGTTTCTGTATCTAGCTATACAGCAGTGGCCATACTTAGTTGTTGGTCTTAACAATACATGCACATACACAAATGAAACACATCAATATAGCAAAAATTGAAAGATGGTCAGAAATTATTTCAAATTCATTTAACTACTAGATAAATTACTCTTTCCTCATGTGTAATATACAAAATATATTACACCATTGTGCGATAGTAATTAAATTCTAATTACATTACTAGCAAATGTAAATACATCATGGTAAAACTTAATCTTAAAGGAAAAATAACTATCAATTAGTTGTATACAATAAAAATCAAATCAAAATATTTAAAAATTTTATAAATGGGAAAAAGAAAAAAACCCACAAAAAATTAGTTATGGAGCCAGGACAGAACACATTCAAAGGATGTCTGGCAGAACAATAACGACCAATTGCTGACATCACAATTTTTTTGAAAACTTTGTTGTCCTCAGTTTGCCACTGTTCGTTAGCAGACTTTTTAAAGTTAATTGGATTAGGGCTTGGTGGAACCCTAGAGCTCTTGGGCCCCTCTGTATTGCACAGCCTGCACACCCTATATGACTTCCCCTGTAGCTAACTAACTATATATATAGACAAATAATAGTGTATTTCTTTTAATATTTATAAAGTTTTACTTACAATAAAGTATAATTGTTTGCACTTTCAGTACAAAATGGGTCAATTTGACATGTTGCGAGTGTGAAACAATATATATATATATATATACTATAACTCTGAATTTACTAAGTATATCTTCATGAAATTAAACAAGCTTTTAGTTAACATTATAAATCTGTTGTATATATATATAAACAGGTTTTAATAGCCTATTTCTACTAAATATTTGTCTGTGAATTTATGAAGCCTTTAATGAGTCAGTCTGAAGTGAAAAGTTATTTTCATGCTAAGAATAAAAATACCTTTCTTTTTATGGTTTTTATATTTCATTTGAATAACCTCTAACCTACTAAATTATTAGAAACTTTTTCTTGGTAAAACTTTATATTTCATTTCTTATTTTATTTATTCTAATACTAGCCGTAGTGAAATCATCAACGTAGAGTGAAATTAAAAGTTGAAAAACATGAAATAAAATGAACAATACCTTTTTCTTCTTCTTTCAGTGCATCATTTGTAGACAGATATTCAACTTAATTATATTCACAATTTTAACCAATAACCTGTTCACATCTGTTTTCTTTTAATTTCATTGTCTGATATTTTTACCTACTAAACCAATGATAAGCAATACATACCAGTGGGGGTTCCTGGTAGAGCTTAGGGTAAAAAAAACAATCAGATTGCAGTTACACTTATACCACAAACACACTTTTCTCATTGATGAATCTCAAAAAATTGAAATTTTATTAAGTTTTGTTTCCTAACTTAAAAATTTCATATTGTTTTACATTTTACTTAATTTTGTTAAAAAATTTAACAATTAACAAAACATTTATATAAAAAACAAGAAATTTTGCATTTACTTTAAGATTGAGGTCTTTTCTCATCAGAGGCCAATTTCCATTAACCCTGATTTTTTCTAAGTTGATTGTCCAAAAAATAACTGATGTAGCTTTAAAATATACATTTTAAAACCAAAAAATACATCAGGCAGAAGAAACAATGCCTCAAAACTACTATAATTTATCTGGCTTTCCAACTAAGCTATAAAATAAGATTATGACATTTTCATTGATTGATAACAAACAGTATCAAAACTGGAAAACCTGAAACATCAGTTGTTACTCCTGATAGAAGTCAAGCAATGTTTGTAAGTGTTGAACAGTGTTTGAATGTAGATGAAAACCTTCCAAATGAATATTGCATTGATCAGTAATGTTCATATCTTTTGATCTCTTCTACACTTACCAAATCACATTTCAGAGCAGTTTTTCCATGCTGAAGCACAAAAGAAAAGACTTGAGCAATTGATCAGATATTTCAAATCATTCCTGCATTTATGTGTTTGGGCAATATATAATCTGTTAAATCTCTAGAGTTACAAAACTTATGAATTAATACATGTATACATTTATAGAAATTAAAAACCTGTATAACAAATCATACAAGTTTCATATCATAATCAAACAGTTTACTTGAAATAATGCTCTTCCTTGTATGAGTGATAAAATAAGAAATTATGTTTCCAATGTAGAAATCTGTCTTCACTCATTTAGAGCTTTGAGTGAGGTGATTTTAATTTGTGAAAACTACAAATGTTGGTGTGATTCAAAACACTATTAAGATAAATGATTTGATATTATTATGAAATATACATGTAATGTAATACCGAAAATTTCATTTTTCTTGGGTACTTAAAAATGAAATGCATTAAGACTGGTATTCACCAAATTCACCAATTAAGAGTTTATATTAACAAATTTTTGAAAATGCAAATCAATGAGTCACGTGACAGCCACTGCTAATACACAGTCATGGTGGAACAGGACGTATCAGAAGTAAATTTCAACATTTTTGTTTTTTTTTTAGATGGTGTGATGCCACCAAAAACTGATCACTTCTGGGAAGGATATGTAACATCCTTTTCCATCACAAAATATTCATACACTAAGATTATAAAGAAGTGTTCTGTTCTGGGATTTAGAGTTTATGTGAGGTGAAAACAAAGGAATATGGATCAACTTGGGATCACCAGAACCATCCAGAAAAAACCTACAACAAGTCATACTGCAGCTGTGGTAAGAAAAGTGTGGCATCTTGTAACAGGTGAGAATTCTCATACACAAAGACATAATCAAGAAGGATCTCCACCTGCAAAAGTGACAGAAGTCTCGTGTAAACAAACTGCTTCCATGACATATCCATCTAACCATCCTATATCTTATGTAGCTGGAGAATGAAATATGTATTCATGCTATTCCATACAAGGTTATACCATTCAAGTTGTCAGAAACAGTGCCTATAGATTTCTGTAAAACTGGACTGTTGAAATGTGCACTGGGAAATTGTTGCCATCATACTCTAAATGAGTTATGGAAAGTATGCAAGGAGAAGTGGAATGCTTTTGACATGAAATATATTGTAGGGATATTGTCAAGATGCACTAGATATGGCAACAAGGACTGAAAGGATCCAAAATCGTTTTAGAATATCATACTCATCAGTAAACATTATAGAGCTTTTGTACACACACAAAATAATTG